ACCAATTATTACTACGGTGTAATTTATACCACTGTTCTGTCTGTATATAGCCTACTCTCGTATCACACTCACTAGGCAATTTTGTATTACTATACATCAGTTCGGTTTCGCATGTTTTGCTTGTCTGTACAGAATATAAAGCGGTTTCTAATTTACATATGTATTTATTATTATTCTTAAGAATTTTACATTGATCTAAATTTTCTATGCTAGTATAATGAATTTTATTATTTGATATTAAAAAATATTTAAAATTAGGTAAAATGAATATAAATGTATTATCACTACTTTTTATTGGTACTGGAAGAACGTGATATAAATCATAACTCATTTGAGTGATTAGCGGTGTCTTAATTACAAACACAAGTTTTTCATTCATTACATACGACACTAAATTAGTTAATAATAATAATTCTGGAATATATTTCTCATTTAGCTCTAGAGGATATTTCGTTTGTGATGGCAAATATGATAATGTCTTTTTTAATTCTGCTCCGTATTGTTCTGGAGTAATGATTACTGGATGGATAACATTATTTTTTGCGAATAAAATAACATTAATAATTGTTGAGATTTCGTTGTTTACTTCGGTAGTAATTAAAGTTAATAAGGACATATGCTCATCAATGTCTTGTTTCATTTTGATACTAAATATTTTATCTCCTATATCTTTGGTGTAATTCGACAATAAATTTAAATTTTCATTGCATACTTTTTCATTATTATTTAAATCTGTAATGGTTGTATTAAAATTAGAAATCGTTGATTTAATAATGTTAGATTGAGATTTTAATAAATTTAAAACTTCGTGTTCATTTTTATCTAAATGTTCAATTGCATCGTTATATCTTTTCGCGTCATCGGTATCTAAAGTACCGAAAAGAACTTTAAAAATACTTCCAACTCCATCTATATACGACCGTTTAACCCTATGATTATGAAAGCCTGTTAATTCTCTAAGGATATTTTCTTGAGTATTCAATTGAGAAATTATTTGTTCCAAAATCACAAGTGATGTTTGGCAAAGGAAAAACTTTGTGAAAGTTTCATGATTACAAAGATCTTTGGTTCTAATATAGGTATCATGAATTAAATTTATTTTTCTATGTATATCACCTATATCTAAGTACGTTATTAAATTCCATTCACTATCAAAATGATTAACTTTTCCTAAATTTTCAAAGTAAATACCTCCTTTATCAATCATGCTAATATTATATAACTTATTACTACTTATTACGTACGGTATCCATGTTACGAATATCAAAACACGAATCAGGTTCATTCTGAAACAAATGCATGTTTCAACCTATTAGTATGTACTTTTAATTTCCTATTTCTAATCTTAATTGTAACATTAGTTGAAGAATTCACTTTAACTATTTTATAGGGTCCTAACCAATAAGGTGATAATTTTCGAGACTTTCCCGGTTTGATGGCCTCGTTACTTAAGTAAACTGAATCTCCTACTTTAAATTCTGTGTCTTTACATTTCTTATCATAAATCGGTTTATTATACTCCTTTGAACTTATCAATTTATTTCTAGCTATTTCTCTTGATTTTTGTAACCTTAAAATAAGTTCGTCTAAATAGTTATCATAAAAATATTTAAACTCGGGTTCCTTAACTATAGCACTTGGTAAATTAGCCTTAAATCCAAATATTACTTCAAATGGTGTAAACTGAGTTGAAGTGTGAACACTTGTATTATATGAAAACATAGCAAAATCAATCCATTTGTCCTAATTATTCTGGTCTTCATTAACGTAATGTTTTAGATAATCTGCTAATGTCGAATGACTACGTTCTAATGCTCCATTGGATTGTGGATGATACGCACTAGTATTTATTTTTTTTATTTTAAATAATTTCGCAATTTCTTTTATTAAATTAGAAGTAAAATCTGCTCCTTGATCAGTTAATAATATCTCTGGTATTCCAAATTTACATATAAAATTACGAACAAAACAATCTGCAATCGTTTCCGAATCATGTTTAGGCAATGGATATGCCTGAGTGTATTTTGTTAAGTCATCCTGCAATGTTAAAATGTATTTATTTCCGTTTTCTGATAAGGTTAATGGACCTACAATGTCCAGAGCTATTTTTTGAAATGCGTTTGTGGAAGTTGAGGTAATTTCCATAGGCTTTATATATTTTTTTATATTTATTTTATTCTTTTGACAAGATTCACATTTCTTAATAAAATCTTTAATATCTTTTTTCATAGTGTCCCATTGAGAGTTGGCTTTAATTTTCTTATAAGTTTTATGAAAGCCTGTATGCCCTGACATAACATTTGAATGATTTTCTTCTAAAATAGATGGTATATCCTCCCTTTTTATCGTATGAACTCTCCCATGAAAAATGTTGATTGATATTTCCGTATCTTTAAATATATACCTAATTATGGTTCTAACTTTATGCCATTTAAGATGAAAATTACAAAAACTAGTTAAATTAATTTCTTTAATTTTTTCTTGCACTAATGCATGCTTTAGATTCTTAAAACATTCAAATGTCTTCATATGTTACTTTATCCCAATAGTTCAGCTTTGGGAAGGTAAAATATACTTTACTTCCATTATTTTGTATACTTAAAACTTCATATTCAATTGGTTTCTTTGATTTTAATTCCTTTATATAAGTTTCGTATTCTAACAACTTCTTATCATTCTCAATTTCTAAATCAGTTGATGTAAATACAATCCTATTTCCGTTATTTGGAAGCTTATCGTTATGTTCGTTGAGTTTATTATATAAAATAGGTTTTCGTTCCATTTCTTTTAAAAATGATGACTAACTTTCCCCATTTTTTGTAAATTTTACTAACTGTGAATTTTAATAACTTCTTCTGATTCTGGATACCTATATGACTTTGTATTGACAGGAATGTTACTATTAGTAGGTATTTCATGCATAACTGTATTTGTTGACGTTAACCTATCTCCTTCTAAATAAAATATGTGATTATACTCTTGACATAATTCTATTAAAGATTCTTTTTCCTCCTTATTCAAGTGATCCGTACGTAAAGTTTGTTTTAACTCATCTAAACGACTTCCTTTGTATGTTTCATCATTCTTAATTTTATTTATATTAATTATCTCATTCGTCCCTTGTTTATTATCTTCATTATCATTAACTTTGTTTATACTAATTAACTCATTAGCTATCGGTTCTAATTTAACAAACAATTTATTTATTTTCACTTCCTTATCTGTCGTATTCAAACATACTGTTAATGCCTTGTTATTCTCAACTTTTACAATGCTTGGACATAAATACACACCATCTGATATCTTAATTTTATCTAGTATTAGTCCCTCTTTCAAATTAGGGTTCTCTATTGAAATAGAAATCACTTTTTCACATCTTGGTTCTATGACAAATAAATTATTTTCTTGATTCTTTTCATTACTAAAGTTTTGTGGATGAACTTCACTAATTCTTTCATATCTATTATTTTCATAACACATATCATTTTTTAATACTTGTGGCTGAACTTCACAATTTTCCTTACATACTTTATTTCCAATACTTCTTTCATTTTTTAATACTTGTGGATAAACTTCACAATTTTCCTTACATACTTCATTTCCAATATTTCTTTCATTTTTTAATACTTGTGGATAAACTTCACAATTTTCTTTACATACTTCATTTCCAATATTTCTTTCATTTTTTAATACTTGTGGATAAACTTCACAATCGCTTTATTCATATTCCCTTTTAAATCTTTACTTAAAAAAATTTCTTCATGTTCAATATTCATTTCTATACCACATATTCTTATTTTATTTTCTTTATAATTTATTATCGAGTCCGTTTTTGACAAGAAATCGCTACCTATGACGCCATTACATTTAATAGGAAAGCTATCAGGTACCACGTGAAGTGTCTGATAAACTCTTTTGTCTCCTATATTGAATGTTAAATAGGTACAACCGATTGTTTCGGTTGTGGTTGCGCTATTTTGCAAATAGGCAATTGTGATGGGATAAGCCGCGTGAGTGCGCTGATGCACTCACCCCAGTCGTCGTTACACCGTGTAGCAATTAACACGGCTTCCGCGTAATTAACTATCATTCCGCACCGCGCGCGCGCAGGTTGACCGCGCCTATACGCTTTATAAACTTTTTATTTACTGTACTATACGAACTTTAAGTGCTCTGTGCTAATTTACATGGAATCGGGGATAGGAGTTGCAGCAGAAGGTGAGTCCCTGAACTTTTGTTTTTTTGCATGTGGTGTGTCCATCACCGGCAGGGGGTCCCTTCTCGGGAGGTAATACGCCTTCCCGCATCCCCAAAATACAGTCCACTTGCTCCACCATAAAGTTTTAGTCCCTTCGCGTTGGATTAATTCCAATTCCTTGAAATTATTTCCACAATTACCTACCCGCTTCCCTTTCGAAACGATCGCATCGCTCGCGCTACGCCATTTTTTGTTCTAGAACGCGTATAGTACAAGTACCTACCGCAATAAGTTATATTTTACTCTCATCATCTTATTTTATTGTTACATAATATCATTTATTTAATTTGTTTTAATATAAACCTGCGCGTACACATCGCGAAAGTAATTTTCTTGCCTTTCTTAACATCGCATAACTTAATAATTTACATTATTTGAATCCACGTACTCATTTCGTAACTGTTTTCATCCCGTTTATATATTTAAAAAACATATTTTAATGTACTAAGTTAAGATATGTATTTCGCATCGCATCGCATTATAAAATAAGTGAATACATTTTATATCATTTATTTATATTTCGTCCCGCATCCATTTCTATTTGTAAAATAGATAGGTTTTGTAATACGTAAGTATTTAAATCTACGTACATAACATATTTTGTGCTAACGTAGCACACCGCATTCTTTTGTTCGTTATATTCATACGATTTCAACTACCGTCATACCTACTCATTTTATTTAGTTATTTCGTTCATTCGCCTAATTTATAATATATAAAACAGTTATATAGTTTGTTAAACATGACATCTCCGCAAGAAATGAATATTATTATTCTTGAGGCTAAACTTTCCGCGTACTTTGAACGTATTCAAAGTATCTACGATTTGTCATGTAGGCTTAATAGTGACGCAGATATCGAGACATTGGTTACTCGTGCTGAGGGCTTAGAATCGGTTCGTAATAGCTTCGAAAAGGTCTTATATGATTTAAATCGTTTTAACATGGAGATAAATCCTAAATATAAGCCAGATTTCAAAAAACTCAACGCTTTCGAAGACTTGTATTGTCATATTAAGCGACAAGTTTCACTTAAATGTCTCACTAACACACCCGCTAGTCAAAGCTCATATTCGAAGCCTAGACTTCCACCAATAGAACTGAAAGGGTTCGACGGTGACCCGCGCAACTGGCCGCTATTTTATTCTAGTTTTGTCGACACAATACATAACAACCCTACTTTGACGTCATCTGATAAGTTATATTATTTAATAGGCAAGCTGACTGGCAAGGCATTGTCGGTGTATGCAGACATTACGCCGTCACCTGACAACTACGAAATAATATTTAACGCCCTCGTCTCTAAATACGAAGACAAGCGGCTTCTCGCGACCACATATTTAAATACTATATTTGAATATAAACCACTTTCTTCCGCGTCACAATTAGAACATTTTATAGATAGATTTTCATCTTCTGTATCCGCATTAAATAATTTAAAATTAGATAATCTAAGCGATTTCATTTTGTTATATATAGCTCTCAAAAAGCTGGATTGTGAGACCACCCGCGCTTTTGAAATGGAAAACCGAAATTGTGGAATTCCAAAACTTGACGATTTACTTTCTTTTGTCCGCGATCAAATTAAAATCATACAACGTCATGGTTCATTAAATTCTAAGTCTAAACCTCATTCAAATTTACCGCTTGTTTCTAAAAACGTCGTAAAGTCATTTTTAGTAAATAGTAATAGATAAGCGATAATTATAATTATCTTTGGCGTCCCCTTTAACCGTTGACTTTTCTGGAAAAGGTCGCAATAGGTATTTCTTTAGAGGAAACGCCGCATCTCCAAGGAGCACATACGGAGCTATGATATTAGAGCCCGGTAATACTTGTTCTTTAGGTATTTTTAGTCTTCCTTGTTCTATTGCTCTTCGAAAGGGGATTTCCTCAAAAACACCGGCATCGTTGTCTTTTCCATAGGAACCCACATTTATCATTACAAACTTATAATTTGCGTCAGTGACTGCTAACAACCCAATCGAAAAAAAGGATTTGTAATTATAATACATGGAACCACTCTTTTTTGGTTTTATTATGCGAATGTGCTTTCCGTCAATACATCCAATGCAATTAGGAAACTGCCATCTGTCCCAAAAACATTGTGCTATGTTTTTAAAGCTATCTTCTGAAGGTTCGGGCATGTGTTTCCTAACTAATTGAGTCCATATAGCTTTGCAAACTTGTGGTACGATTGTAGAAATAGCAGATTTTGAAATTCTGAACGAGAAAGCGAGTTGCCGAAATTGTATACCTGTGGCCAAATACCTGAAATAATGCAAAATATTAAGTTATAATTCCTTTTCTTTTTTCAGGTTAAATAACTAAGAAAAAATGGAAAAATTTGAGAGACACGTTTAGTAAAGAATTTAAAAAAATTCCTAAGCCACGTTCTGGGACTGACGCCGATAATGAGCCGAAGTATACAGGCACATGGCCACATTTTAAGGCCATGTCTTTTTTAAAAGTAGTTCTGAAACCCCGACAAACAGAAGGGAATATTATATCACAAGACTCCGAAAGCCATTCTGTAGATCTGTCAGTGTATTCAGACGCGGCTAGTCCGGAAGAGATATTCAACATGAACGCATCTGACAATGACAACACCCAGCTCCCTGAATCTGCGTCTATTTTAGAAGAAATACCACAGAACATGTCCATAGATAACAGCCTTCGACAAGATCGTCCACCTTCATCCTCGTTGCCGGTGCCTTCCCCTTCGTCCTCGTTGCCAGCTATCACAAGGCAAACACGCAAAAGAAAAGATATAAGTCTCGAAGCATTTCTCGATATTGTGAGAGAAAAAATGAAAATTCTTCGCGAAGATCAACCAGATAATACTGACGACGACCTTCTTTGGTTCAAATCAATATTACCTTACATGAAACAGTTGCCATCACTCAACAAATTACATTTTAGAACGCAGATGCAGGAGCTTCTTCTAATGGAACTGTCAAAGTTAAACCCACCACAATCCAATGCTCAACAACATGACTATTACACATCTTTGTGAAAGTATTGCAATTATGTACATACTTACTAATTAAACTTAATTAATATTATATGTAAACTCTAACATTTATTTCATAGTTTATTATTTCATAGTTTTCTTACCTCAAAGTCACCATAAGTCGTTCTTCTACAGAAATAGGTTCCTGAAAATTTGTTGTAGTAAATTGTAGAACAGGTTTAATGGCTTGTACAATATAGTCAAACGTTGTAGGTAACATTCGACAATATTTATTGAACAACAGGGGTTGAGTACGTAAATCCTGGTACAAATTATGAAATTCCCCATGAGTATGCCTTTCTAAGTACACAGTATTAGTTCCACTTCTCTGCTTTATACACTTCTTCAATATCTCATATTTAAGATATGAATTTTCCAACAACATTAGCTTCCGTCCGTCCATGACAAATGTTTAATGTTAACTGAACTGAACGGCGGCGGAGGGCGCGGAGGGGACGGTTCGCGCGCACGTAGGACAGAGTAGCCGCATCGCTCCGCACCGCATTAAATTCGCATCGGATCGTTTCGCAATCGCGTTCGCGTTGAGTCGTCCACGTAGGACACTGTGTTAGGTACCGCTCGCGCTTACGTTCTTAGTAGCGATGGCTCATTCAAACAAATTAGAATTTTAATAGATACGGGTTCTCAAAATCATTTTATAACGAAAAAATGTTGTAAATTTTTAGGAATTAAAACAAAGATTATTAATAATCCTCTCTCAATAAAAGGCATTGGCGATTATGAGACGCAGTCTATAGGTACTTTTACAGAGCTGACTTTAGCTTCTCACTACGATCCGCTTTACACGCTTCGTATTAACCCGCTCGTCTTAAATAAAATCTCAGATAAATTACCTTCGACAAACATAGACGCGAAACAAATAGATTATTTAAATAATATTGCGCTCGCTGACTCGGACTTTTACGTACCTGGTCAAGTAGACTTGATTCTCGGTTCTGAAGTTTTTACCGAGATCCTTCGCCCTGGTAAGGTGGTCGGACCCCCGGGGAAACCGGACGCATTTGAAACCGCATTTGGATACATTATTTTAGGTTCGCTTGAAAACTTAGTTGATTTTCCTATGACTTCTACATCCACGCAAACGTTTTTCACTTCGACCGAAGACTCAATTGAAAATTTAGTTACGAGGTTTTGTCTTTACAGGAGGTACCGTCTAAAAAACATTTATCTCCCGCTGAGCACCAGTGCGAACAGTTCTTTATTTCAACTACGTCCCGCGATAGCACTGGTCGCTTCGTTACCGGGTTACCGTTTAACCGCGATCCTTCTTGCTTAGGGGATTCTCTAGTTTCTGCGCGTCGTCGCTATAACATTTTGGAGCGAAAATTTAATTTAAACCCTCTTCTTCGTGAGGAATACGACGTGATATTCTGCGAATATTTAAAAAATGGAATTATTGAACCCGCGCCTCCATTGAACGTGGAGGATCCATACTACGTTATACCGCATCATGGTGTTTATCGCTCAGATAAACTTACTACTAAACTTCGTGTCGTATTAGACGCTAGTCACAAGACAACGTCAGGAATGTCTTTAAACGATTGCTTACACTCAGGCCCTAACTTACAAACAGACCTCACCGCAATTATTTTAAATTTTCGACTTTTTAAAATTGCATTTACCGCTGATATTAAAAAAATGTTTTTAAATTTAATAGTTCGCAAATCGGATCGTCGTTTCTTAAATATTCTTTATAGGTTTGCGAATGAAAGCGACGTAAAATTATATAATTTTAACCGCGTTTGCTTCGGCCTGCACTGCAGTCCTTATCTCGCAATGCGCGCTGTACGACAGCTCGCTTCGGAGCAGCAGCAGAATTTTCCGCTTGCTGCTGATATAGCATCAAACTACATATATATGGACGATTTGTGTATTTCGACTCGTTCGTCTGCAGATGGCGCTAGCCTGGCACAGGATTTAATTGAACTGTTTAGATGCGGCGGATTTAACTTAGTTAAATTTGTTAGTAATTCGACAGAGGTCCTGAACGCGATCCCGGTTGAAAATCGCTTGTCAAGCCAGGTTCAGTTTGACAATGATGATTTACTTAAAATCTTAGGCTTAAGTTGGTGTCCCCGTGAAGATATTTTTCGTATTGCAATTAATTATACCCCGCGGGCTGAGTGTACAAAGCGTCTCATGTTGTCTACCGTAGCTAAACTATGGGATCTCAACGGTTTTTGTGCTCCAGTAGTTTTATATGCGAAATTATTAATTCAAGCTTTATGGATCGCCCATATCGGTTGGGACGACTCGCCGTCTGAACATATTTGCATCGAGTGGAAAACTTTTATAAATGAGTTACCACTTTTACATAATTTTCAAATACCACGATTTTTTGGTATCACATCTGATACACACCGCGTTTTTCTTCTTGGTGTGCTTCAGCAGCAGCTAAGTTGCAAGGGTGCAAATCGCCACTGCAGACGGTGCCTGTCAGGAGAGGACAATTGTTGGCGCAAGGGAAGGCGCGGAGCACTAGACGCGTCACGTGGGACAGTCAGTGCAGTATACAGTCCATTGAGGTGATCAACAAGAAACTGTAAGTGTTTCAAAGTTATAAGTAGTGGAAAAATAATCTAACAAAATTGAACTTTAAGTCAATTGGTGATTTAACTCTAACGAATTCTCTATGAAGAAACTATATTAGTGAAATTGAAGAAATTTGGACTTAGAACATTTTCGTAGTTTTAACATTTAGTGTAATTTAGAATAAGAGCTAAATTAAATTATAAAAAACACTTGTAAAATTTGAAACTTTGTATTTGAGGTGAAATATTAGAAATTCAATTATAATGGATAGTTTAATTAAAGTCCAAATAAATATATATGATCGTATGCATAAAGCGCGGATAAATTACAAAAAGTCTCCTAAGGATCGCATAACTGTTCAGTATGTAGAGATCCGAATGGAAAGTCTAAACCAATTATGGTCTCAGTTTTTTTTTTTTATTTATTTATACTGACACACCTCCGATGTGGGAGTCGGAGTCCTTGTTTTCAATTTTTCTTACTTGCATTGCTTTACATTGTTTTTTAAGCGGTATTCTACATATAGTCTTACTTTCTATTTGTACTTTAGATTTACAGTATTTTTACATTTTCCTTATGATTTATCTTATTATTACTAATATTTGTTATTTTTATAACTTATTACATATTTGTTATTTCTATTACATATTCTTACTTAGTTCTATCTCTTACATTTTACTTTTATACTTAAATTTCATGCACAATACCATCATAATGTTGTTATGGTGGATTTACAATTTTCATACTTATATTGTTTTACATTGTAATGGATATAGCACTTTTTTTTCTAAGTCTTAGTGCTATGTCGTTTATTCGCTATTTTTGTAATAAAAGAACAAAATGCTAAAAATATACTGCGATATTGTTTATTTGCTAGAATAGTGTGTAGGTTGTCTAGTTTGAGTTCCATTCTTATTTGTGCTTCCACGTCATGGCGTGCCATGCAGAATCTCGGACAGTTAATAATCAAATGGATGCTTGTTTCCATTTCGTTAGAATCGCAAATGCATCTGGGGTCAGTAATGCATTTAAATCTTGTCAGGTATTCTGCATAGCCGCCATGACCCGTGATTGCCTGTACTTGTGTTGGCGTCAGTGTGATGTTTCTAATGATTTTGTAGCTGTTTATGATGTCTGGGAAGAAGATTTTAGTAGTTTTGCCAGTTGGTCCATTTTGGTAGGCTCTATCCCAGACATCAATGGTATGTGCTCTGATTAATCTTTTGATGGTGGATATCGGATATTTGTCGTAGCAGGGGGCGATCTTTTTATTTTTGGCTGCTTCTTTAGCTAAGAAGTCCGCTCGCTCATTCCCTGGGATTCCCGTGTGCGTTCTGACCCAAAATAGTCTAAGTATTTTATTTTGTGCTGACAGTTTTTTGAGATCTTTCTTTATGGGGAGCGCTAAGGGATGGGTTGTGTCGGTCCTTCTCAGGAGATCCAGGGAAGATTTTGAGTCACTGAAGACGTCGATCGAGTACTCCTTAGTCCCGAGGGCGACCTGGAGGGCCTGGTGCAGCGCGTACATCTCCGCCTGGAATACTGAGCAGAAAGGAGCCAAGCTATACTTTCTGCTTAGTATTTCACGCTCGTTGTTCCAACAGGAGATGGCCGCGCCCACGCCATCCTCTACCTTGCTGCCGTCCGTGAAGATGCACAGTCCTTTAATGCTGTGCCTCTCCACGGTTTCCGGCTGCAAGTCCTCGAGACAGGTGTATTCGATCGATGTCTCCATCGCGGGGTGAGGCAATTCAAGGAATGGAACCTTGTTTTCGGCTTCCCTGCCTTTAAGCTGTTCCATTGGTTTTCCCCTTTTTATTTCGTAGATCTTGGCGGCTTCTGCTATTCTTAATTCTATAGGCAGAAGACCTGCAAGCGCCAGGGCGGCATCAAATGATACCGTCCTATACGTCTTGCAAATCTTCTGCGCGAATCCTCTTTGTACATTATATAATACTTTTCTGTTTCCGATCTTTGCTGCCTCACTCGCCCAAACACTGCTCGCATACATGATGATTGGTTCAGCCACCGCCGTATATATCGTCCTTACTATCTCCGAGCTCAGGCCCTAATTAATTTTTGCTGATCTTGCAAGAGGTTTGTATATTTCAACTACTTTTTTACATACTGTTCTTATGTGTTCTTTAAAATTTAGTTTATTATCTACTATTAATCCTAATATTTTAATTTTATCAGTCAATACTATTTGTCTCCCGCCCATGTGTATGCGGGGGGTGTCATATTTTAATTTACGCGTGATTACCATAGCTTGAGTTTTTTGCGGCGCGAATTTTAATTTGTTATTAACACCCCACTCATACACATGGTCGAGGGCCAGTTTTGATTTCCGCTCTATTTCAGTAGTCTGATCTTCGGAGATTATAATGACGATATCATCGGCGAAGGCTTGAACATATATACCCATATCGTCTAACTCCCGCAGTAAATCGTCCAGTAAGACTATCCAAAACAGGGGACCGCCTATTGAACCCTGGATACAGCCTTTGTTGGTGGTTTTTGTGTGGTTTGTTCCCGCATATTTGACTTCAACAGAGCGACCGTTAAGGTAGCTCTGGGCTAGCCCAAATATGTTGCGGGGGCATCCCTTATCCGCCAATCGGCATTTTATGGCTGGCCACCAAGCACTGTCGAAAGCTCCCTCTATGTCGAGTGATATTACTGCAATTATTTTTTTGCGGAAAATACCATCTCGGATATGGTTCACCATATCGTAGAGGGAGTCTTCCGTACTACGCTGGGGCACAAAGCCATATTGCCTTAAGCTGATCTTGGGCATTACATGCCACCGGATCCTGCGAACCATCGCCGAGCAGCGGTAGTAGTCCTATTAGTCGAAAAGCCTTAGGATTGGCGTAATCGCCTTTCCCGGGCTTCCGTAGAACCACTACCGTTGCCTTTTTCCAATCTGCTGGGAAACGCGACAGTTCTAGGCACTTGTTTAGGATTGTCACGAAAAGCGAGGGGTCTGTCATTATAGCCGTCCGAAATATATCGGCTGTGAAGCCGTCATGTCCGGGTGCTTTTTTAGGATTAAAACTGTCTGCGACAGTCATTATTTCTACGCTTGTGAAGGGAGGGTCATCCTTCGTTTTTATATGGTCTCAGTTTAGTGATAACCATAATCATATAATTAAGTTATCTCGAGGTTTTGACAATAACTATTTTAAAGAGGATGTAGCGGGAAGTGTGGAATAATTGTATATCGATCATATGACTGAATTAAAACAAACACTTGCCTCATTTGATCGTTCAAGTAAGGATGTTTCAGTTTCAAGTGTAAATAATGCTAATTCATCTAACATTAAATAACCCCGTATAGTTATTCCAACATTCAATGGTCAATATGCTGAATGGACCACTTTTAGGGATTTATTTGTATCACTTGTGCACACTAATAAACAACTAGACAATGTCCAAAATATGCATTATCTAAAAGGTTATTTATCTGGTGAGGCCGAACAGCTGCTTAGACAGATGCCCATATCAGATTCAAATTATGAAAGGTGTTGGTCACTACTTAATTCTAGATATAATAATAAAAGATATTTGTCACATTTTATTTTGAAACGTTTATTAAGTCAAAGAAATATTACATCAGAGTCAGCTAATTGTTTAAAAAATCTTATTGATACAACTAATGATTGTTTAAGTTCATTAACCAATTTAGGTATAAATGCAAGCACTTGGGATATTATTATTATTCATATACTTACCTTAAAGCTCGATTCGGAGTCCAGGAAACAGTGGGAATTTTCTGTAACAAATAATAATTCATCTGAAGAACTACCAACCTTTAACCAATTTTCTGAATTCCTTACAAATCGTTATCGAGCCTTAGAGTTCTTGGACACCAAATCAGCTACTGTAACCAAAAATTCTCAATATAATAATAATGTAAATAAATTTAGAACTTTTATAGCTTCAGCTAATAAGATTCAATGTGCATTTTGTTCTGAGGATCATAGGATTATACATTGTAAGCGTTTTTCTAATGAAACTGTAGACGCTCGACGCAATTTTGTCCAAACCATAACATATGTTTCAACTGCTTAGGTAATAATCACTCTGCCAAATCCTGCCAAAGTTCAAACAAATGCCGTATTTGCAACCGTCATCATCACTCGCTATTACATCCACCAAGTTCAGGTATTTCTGGAGCCAACGCTGAAACAACTAAAAATAATAATGGTAACATTGGTTCATCAAGCTCAGAATCAAACAACGAGATGGAGTCAACTCCTTTAGCAACGTTCTTTTCGACAGGACTAGTTCTTAATCAGGTGTTGCTAGCCACTGCGTTGGTCAAGGCCGCGTCGAAAACGGGAGAACATTATATAATTCGAGCGTTGTTAGATCAGGGGTCACAGACGTCATTCGTAACTGAAGCGACAGTCCAATATCTGGGATTAAGAAAATTCCTATAAGGGAACAAGTTTCAGTTTTAGCGGGTAATAGTAATGTGTCACCAAAAGCAATGGTCTTTATTCAACTTAAGTCAATGATTGATCCAAATTATAATATCACTGTAAAGGCTTATGTTTTGAAAACAATCACTAGTTTTCTTCCAGCCAAGAGAATAACTGCATTGGAATGGCTTGAAGCTCTTGAAATAGAATTAGCAGATCCGACTTATCACACTCCAAACAAAATAGACGTTTTGTTAGGTGCTGAAGTTTATGACAAGATAATTCAGGAGGGTATTAAAAAGGGACCTCGAGGTTCACCGGTAGTCCAGAACACAACGTTTGGATGGATTGTCTCGGGTGAAGTACCTACATCAACCAGGGAGGAAAATCATACGGAGTTTAATACTTTTCATTGTCGAACTGACGACAACGACATGCTAAAACAATTTTGGGAAGTCGAATCTGACCTGGAACTAACAAAGCAACAAAGAATGACACATGAAGAACAAGTTTGCGAAGAACTATTTGCTCGTACTACTGAAAGAGATGAAGACGGTAGATATATAGTTCGTTTACCTTTCAGGACGGAAAACCCAGATTGCATGTTCAGTTCTTCTAAGGAAGTAGCTGAAAAAAGATGGAATACATTAAAATTAAAGCTAAAAAGAAATCTAGAATTCAGTAATAAATATGAAGCAGTAATGGAAGAATATCTACAGTTAGGTCATATGGAAAAGGTACAAGAATCAGAAGTTAATAAGCCAAATACAGTATACTTACCTCATCATGCTGTGATACGAGAAGACAAGGACACTACAAAGTTAAGGGTAGTTTTCGATGCTTCTGCAAAAGGAAAGAATGGAGTTTCAATAAATGATTGCTTGTAAGTTGGTCCGCGTCTGCAATCAGATCTGCGTAATATCATGATTCGTTGGAGGCAGCATCCTATTTGCTTAGTAGCAGATATCGAGAAAATGTACCGGCAAATAAAATATAATGCATAGTATGCAAATTAAGGCTAGATATAAATAAGGTTCCTGCCACTGCATTGTATTAATAATTTATTGAAATATAACATTATACCTTGAGTTCATTGATTTTGTTTCCTTCGATTTTTTTTAGAACGAGAAAAGAGACTCGAATATTTTTATATTTTTATAAATTTAAACGCGACTTTGCTCACTAGTCTGTTTTATACCCACTCGTAAGAGTTGTAGCTTGACTTTAGATAGACAATAGATAACCTTCCTCAATAAAAAGGCTATACAAAAAAATGGAATCTGTAGTTTCAGATATTAGCGCGATTCCCATGGGAAATGGGATATGTTTATGAGGTTTCTTTCGTATGCTGTACATCAAACTTGGTTACTAATGGGATCGATCCTCATGTTTTCTGTAAAACATTCGAAGCCTGTTGAAAACATAAACTAACCGCGATGAAATCCGAAAAATAGAAAATAGAAATGAAATTTTTAGTAACAAGTGTAATGAGAAGCCATATAAAATAATCGTGGGTTGTTAACTAAGTGATCATCTTTTTCCAGCTGTCATGCGTAGCATCTATCATAGGCGGGTCGTGGAGTCTCCCGCGTCACAGGGAGCGCGAGCAGGAGGACAATCTCATATCCATGACGCTGGTCATGTTCTCCACATTGTCTGCCATTAGCAATATTGTGGCTTTGATGGGCATTGGGACGGTAAGATATCTATCAATCTATTACATATAATAAAATTATAACTAATGTCACGGTTAACCCGGTCTACAAAGGGTCGGAAATGAAAAGACCGAGTTCCATGCAAATAAATTTAATTTATCGAAATAATCTCGACCCGGTGGAGAAAAAAAAATATTAACGGGCGGGGTCGAGCACTTAACCCACACAAGTTCCTATGTTAAGTCGGTTCAGGTCTCTCTCCTCTCCTGCGTAACGCCGTAAAGATTCCCGGGAGCTACGTTCTGGAATCCGCTGACGGCTGGATGCGGCAGAAATGGGTAACCAAACCCGGCGGAGAGTATTCACGTCGTGGTGGTGTAAGTAGAAAACAAAAGGGCGTGAGGGTATACCGGCCAAATTGGTAATCCGAGCGTTGAACCCTGGAACGCGCCATCAAAATACAATTACAAGCGGTCCAGTACATATAGCAAACATCCACGGCACTGCGTTATAAAAGAAAGCACCTAAATTGTAGTAGTAGTGCCGTGGAATCATGACAACCAGAAACGGAGATTACAATTTTGAGAAATAAGTTAATTTATAAAGAAATTTACGAATATTTAAAAATTATTAAAAGCTGAGGGTGGAATAAAAAAATGATGCAATCTTTTTATAACATTTCTATGTAAAATCAATTTATATTACTATTAAGAATTACTGTTGAACACAAATATAAGTTTTAAATGATTACTAGCACTAATAACTACTCAAATTGCCTGTGACATTAAATATACCACTTACCCAGTTTAGGGGCGATCAACACTCACTATAGAATTAAAAATATTCGAGGAACGCTTAGCGACGATCACGAAAAAATTATATAATATTACGGTTACGAGTTTTTAAAGAATAAAGACACGAATTAGAGACCGTAAAAATTATTGTGACGTGCGTTCACTCAAACTACTTAGATGCAAAGCAAAATGAATAATGAGTGGCGGCGACCGGTACTGCAGTATTTAACTTAACGAAGACAAAAGATTTACTTGAAGCGCTAAAATGCTGCATCGCGCGAGTATACAAATGCCGCTAAATGCTAAATAAATTTGACATATTATTATATTTTGTAAGAAAAAACAAGTTATAATAAAATTGTGTTATATACTTAAACGTTTTAATGTAGGATTTAATTTAATAGTTATTTTAATTAGTTTTAGGTATTGTAAATATTAAATTTAAGTGTATTTTAGGGTAATAATATGAATTACGTACATATAACGTTACACTAAGTCGAATCTGTACATTAAATATTTTTTGGAGAATCTTATTGAAATAAGCATTATTATCGATAGAGGCCGAATCTAAAGTGTTTAGAGTTTTTGTCCGTCTGTCTGTCTATTACCGCATCACAGAAAAACCACTGGAGCGATTTTGATGAAATTTGTTATATTGATAGCTGTTTATCCGGGTCAACATATAGAATAATTTTTACCGCGGCAAAATGTAAAATAAAAATAAAAAATAGAAAAAGAAAATCGGTTGACAAACAGAGGAGAAAAAGGTACTGAACTGTTTTCTTTGCCTATTTATGTATAGACTAGCATTGCCCGCGGCTCCGCCCGCCAACCAACCAAATTCTTAGGTTTTACATATTAGTGTACTCATACATTGCAGTTTTTGTTTTTTTTCTCAGAAATAAGACATTTTCTCGGGGTAAAAAGTATCCTATATGTTGACCTAAATAACCAGCTATCACCATACCAGATTTCATCAAAATCCCTCTAGTGGTTTTTCTGTGATGCGGTAACAGACAGACAGACAAAAATTCTAAAAACTATAGATTCGGCCTCTGTATCGATAATAATGTTTATTTCAATAAGATTTTCCAAAAAATATTTAATGTGCAGATTCGGCTTAGTTACAATTTTATTACATGTATAGATTTTATGACGTTTTTAAGTAGATAGATACGTGTACTATACTGTGTACAGTGTACTGTAAGTATACACGTAATGGGGGCGGAAAAGAATTAATTTCTCATCATAATGATGGTTTGGGCAGAGACAAACGTGAATATGGATAACAGATATGATTGTTTTTACATCGGACGCTTAGAAAATAGCTGCTATTGTACATACATTGTTCGTCTTGAGCAAAATTGCTTTTGTTGCGTTTGCGATGTTTTTAACTTTTTGTTTCTATTCCGTAATAGAATTGTAGTAATTAAAAAGATATATTACGTAAGAATATTAAAGTGTGTTACAATTTGCTTGTATTTATATTATAGTTAAAATAATAAAATTATTGTAGGTACTTAAAGAGTGAGTATTACCTCGGTAGTGCAGTGGCTAACACCATCGGTTGTAGATTGTGGGCACATGGGTTTGAGTCTCGAGTTATGGGGTTTCCCTATTTAAAATCTAAGTAGCAATCCAGAATTGAGAAGCTGACGCCAGTTTCTTTTAGGACTGAAGCTTTTTCATTACAAACTCTCGGTAAACTTAGTCGATAACGTTAAGTTAAAAACATTAATAATTTATTAAATACAAATTAAAATTCTTGTATTAAAAAAAAATAGGTCCCCGTGTCTCGGATAGTGCCCGTAAACGAGAAACCGTCTGAGCTCACCGGTCATGTAGAGTTATCATCCCACCTTATTTACGAAAAAGGGTATGGATTAAGCGCTTGTTGTAAAATATCGTCTATCTAAACGGCTAGTGTTTATGACCTAAATTTGTCTTTCTGAACTCGTAATCTTACTGACACCAACCATCACCGCAGATTTCTATGACACAATTCATTTCTAACCTAAAAAACTTTTTAACAAAAAAATAAAAACCGACTTCAAACTAAAGCACTAAAAAGTAAAAAATAACTGATTGGTAGTTTTCATTTACTATACATACCTAATCAAATATTTTCGAAGTCGGTGTGCTTTGCTTTGTATGGGCTGGCACCGATTTCGAAAATATTTGATTAGGTATGTATTTAATAGGTAGGCTTTAATTACTTAGCCAAAGCACACCGACTTCGAAAATATTTGATTAGGTATGTATAGTAAATTAAAACTAGCAATCAGTTATTTTTTACTTTTTAGTGCTTTTGTTTGAAGTCGGTTTTTATTTTTTTGTTAAAAAGTTTTTATTTTTCCCGTTTTAGTGTAGACAATAGTAGCGAAATAAGAATTCTAACGTGTTAGGCTTGTCAAATCAAACAAAATAAGCCCAAACTCAAAGTATCTACTATTAGCCGTTGAAGAGTTCAACCTATCTACCTTCTGGCCTTGCCATCAGATCAGGGCAACAACACCGAACCACTGTAATATCAACGGAAATAGAAATACTTGCAAAGTTTCAAGTCAATATGACAATAGAAGTAGGTTAAATTCATCATTAGTTGTGTTTCCACCCTTAGGGGTGGTATTTTTTTTTGAAATTTAAATGGGACCAATCTGGAAGTATACCCTTTCAAATAAAACAGAAAATTGTCCAAATCGGTTAATAAATGACGGAGTCCTGAGGTAACAAACATAAAAAAAAAACATAATATAATATAATAAATATTAATATAATAAAAATAATACATAAAACTTATTTATTAAAAAAACTGATACTTTTTCACACTCACCGCAACAACTCCATACACAAAGACCATGTCAAATATGAACTTGACGAAGAACATGAGTACTAAGATAATAGACATGACGTAAAGGCCAGTCAAGGCAGCCTCCGCGTTCAAATCCCGCTCTTGTTCTGCTTCATACTTAATGGGCTCTATCGTACTCGCCAGCACTATCATGATTACGAACAGGATGAAGGAAAGTAGCTGAAAATGTAAAAATATTAATATGTAAATTCATAATTTAAAACACTCCTGCGCTTCGCTCGGCGTACATTTTGGCTTTCACACATTAGTATTAGCTCGCATCGCTCAAATTTTTGCTGAAGCAAATGTCCTAAGATGTAATTTTAATAAAAGATTGAACAGCATGCAACATAAAAACATGCAGGTGGTTGTATGAGAATTTGAAGAAAGCCAGTAAGTAGGTACTATACACTAAATTTCAACAAACTTGTCTCGTTTTAACACGTTCACTGCGCCATCATTTTGAAAGAACTTTCAGCTGGTGCTTTGGAGACCTAAAAGATCTCGAAACTAGCCTACCCTTTGGTGCGTTAGAGACCTAATCAGTCTCCTAAAAATACAGTTTTGAAAATAATTTATATCTTCCAAAAAACTAATGACATATATTTTGAAGTTTTTGTGGGTCAAGAGAGCCTATTGCTTTACATTTTACTAGGTTCGCACGCAGTTATGACATTAGAATAAACTACAAATACCAAAAAAATATTAGATATCGATTGTATCTCGTACCGCAACCGAAGATAGTTCAATATGTGTAGTAAGTAGTGATGGGAATAAAATAATATCTCAGTTGTCGATTGAAAAAGTTTTCATAATACTTTCTTAGTACTTTCTTAGAATTATTTAATAATGAAAAAGTTTTATTAAAGAAGTTTATTTATAAACTATGCAAAGTGTTTTTCATTAAAACATGGTAAGCACATTGATTATTTGCATTGCGCGCAAATGGTAACAATTTTTTTAGCTTTTTTTAGAAGCGTCAGTGCTGTTTAATGTGCGTCGTAATTTTTCATAACAACCCACACAACGTCTTTTTTTGTCGCCACGTTGGAAAATATGATCTGTACATCTTCCTTCGGGGAATTCTGTTATAAAAAGCATTATATTTTCCAAAATTGTAATTATACTGGACGATGCAGCACTCCCCCCCAACGTGCGTTCACCTTGTCGTGGTGGGGGGGCTCAGTAGTGCCCGGCAACCCAACCGGGCGCGAAGCCAAGAAACGCACAGGGAGGTGGCCCACTTTGGTGGGCGGTGGGAGGCGCCCTCTTCGGAGGGCGGTGAACCGTGCGGGTTGCTCCTGGTAATTCTCTGATAGCAGAGTGGACCTTGGAGCAACCCCGTGGTTGTTGTGGTCTGCTTCGGCAGACCTGCCATCGGGGCGTCGTAGTTGAATGCGTAAGCGATCCTGCGACGCCTCATTAAGACGGGGGAAGGCTTTGTTGGGTTTTAGTGGGTAGTACTGGCTTTGCCGGTGAGTCCCACACATCGTGCGTAAATGCATTTCCCAACGTTAAAAAAAAAAAAAAAAAAAGCACTACAATCCGGCGTTGATTTTTCATTCTTAGAAATCTCACCAAAATAAAACAATTTTATTAAATAATGAAATAAAATATATTAAATAAAAATTTTTTTACACTTTTTCGAAACGTGCTCGTAACCTCCCACGTCGACACTAGGACAACACTAAATCGATTCACACAGCGCCCGCGCCACCCACCCTCCCTCTCTTGCGTCTACGAGGCGTACGATTTCACGAGTATCGACATGTCTCCTAACGCAAGGAATAAAAATAATTATACTACTGTGCGTTAGGGACCTAATCCATATCTATTTTTTTTTTATGTCCTCGAATTCACCTTTAAGTAGGAAGCAAATATGTATATTTGTCTTACTCATACTTAAAGAACTTTACACGTTAGAGCCTCCCGCAAGGAGTGAAACAACACGATTATAGTCAACGCACTATACAAAAGTCCTGCAAGAGATCTGATAGATCTCGTAATGCAGCGAACGTGTTAATGGGGTAATTACAGTGCGATTGCTCTCCCATTTTACCATAACATTCGACGATCGAGCTAAAAAGGACCCCATAAATAAAAGTAAAACCGTACGGTCGTCTCTGGGTCTCGTACATATACGCCCTCGGCTCACTTGACCTTGACATTAGGAGATTTTAAAGAGATTAACTTCCTTCCCATGCACAATAAGCAACGTGTATTCTTCTATACTAATATTATAAAGAGGTAAAGTTTGTGAGTGTTTGTGAGATTGTAAGTTTGTAACGTTGTAGGGGGTAATCTCTGGATCTACAGAACCGATTTAGATGAAATTAGCTAAGAAGATATTTTGATACACTGGGAAGGACATAGGATAATTTTTATCCCGGATATCATCCCATTAGGGGGGTGAAAATGGGGATGAAAGTTTGTATGGGGAATCAAGCTAGGGATGAACCCGAGCGATGCGAGTGTGCATCGCTAGTCGTCACTAAAATCGTACTAAAAGCATGCCACACCAAATAGCAGGGATTTTACTCTCTACTACACTATCTCATAACACATCATAATGAAACTTGCTTCATTACTAAGTAAAAATATATTGAACACTCTATAGCTTATTATTTTACATACCGCGTTCAAACATCCCATTACTATGTTGCCAGTTTTTAAATCAAAAAAGAAGCAACAGCTTTCAAGCTGCGGTAGACCCATGTTTGCCTGGAACTGTCAAAAGACCTTAATGTTTTCTATTTTGCATACAATATACTCGTATAGTGTAAAGATTGAATTTTACTTTTACTTTGCATAAGGTAGATCCTATGACTCCATTGAATGGATTTAAATTAAACCTAGCTAAAGTTCGCAGACAGACATACAGAAATCTAAAAACTGTTGAGATGGTTCCTAAATACAAATTTTACAAAGGTAAAACTTATGAGATTCAGTAATTTTGACCTTGTTATCGTCTTACTACGAGTATAAGCTAAGTAATTAAATTATTAACTTTATTATTACCTAAGTATGTAATATTAATTAAAGTTTAAGCAATATAAGACACACAGACAGCTTCCAGATACCAGATCAATGCTTGTGTAATTAGAAATTAACACTTTAAACTTAGCAGTTATACGGTTTACTTATGTACAATGTACATATATGGACGCTAGCTAGAATATTTTTTCTTTAATTCAAATTAATTTAATACATTAAAAAACAAATTAAAGGTATTATGGGGTTAAATTGGTTACAATAATTAGGGTGGGTAACGAAATATGATAACTTCTATGAAATCAAGACAACTTCACAATATTTTACTTCGATGGTGTGATTTTCATTAAATACACATTTTCACTAGCATTTTTTAAACAGGCAAACACAGAAAAAGACCTCAAAATACTTACATTATGAAAATTTTGATAGAGTACTGAGAACGGCGTCTGAGGATACAATAACCGCTTTTGAACGGAGGCTTTGATCTACCCCCGAGACATCATAGAGTAAGTATTCATTGTAGAAACACCCCAAGAGTTTTATTGTTATCGTACTAATATAATTTTCTATGTTGTTTTTGTCATTCTAATACATAAAAGGGAAGAGTTTTTTTTAACATACATATCTTAGAAACTCCTAGCTGATTTTTTTTCATTTTATGGCCAATATTATTTATACCGAAACAGAAGCTAAGAGTTACGCAAATGTTAAAAAAATTACCTTCTCCATTCTACGTGACATTGGCGAAGTAATCTGTGATCAACTGGCACTCTTTAAAGCCATTCAAGAAAAACGATTTGAATTGTTAAAATAATGAAATTGAAGAAAAATTGTTTGTTAAATACAAATAAAAAAAGAGAGCAAATTCGTTATTTTTAAGACAATCGGCAACTTTAATATGGTGTAAATAATAACTTATCGGGCTAAGCTTCTTATCTTTTATTTGTTCACATTTCACTAACATACACATTGGCTTTCTGTTTTTAGCTTATTCTGTGAACCACTCCGGCATCGGGAAGTCTGGTACTTTAATCAATGATCATTGAAAGTGCGTAAGCTGAGCTGAATATTTAGTGCCAATTTCTTACGTGAAAGGGCGTTCAAAATCATTTCTAAGTATTTTAGAAGCTTATAAAGCTTATAATTAAAAAAAATATAAAAAAAATAGAATTAACCTGTTACTTATCTCAATCATAGATTTATAAATAATCGTTACTTTTAAGAATGTCATAAAATTTCAATTAAACTTTAAACACATTATATACATTAAACATCAAATTTAGCCTTCACGTTTTATTAGAATTATTCCGCAACTCTTGTCCGTTTTATAATATTTTGAACTTTCATAACTAATTTCAGCATACTTCAAACTATCTTTGACCATTCAGGCACTTAACTAAAACTTGAATATTTGAGTTTATTTGTTTGGAATAGTTTTCCTTTAAAGTAATTTTGACTGCCTCATTGGTTGAGTTGAGTGGCTAGCGTGTACGGCTGCAAACCGTGAGGTACTAGGTTCGAAACCCGGGATAGTCAAAAAGTTAGGGTACTACATGTGGGTTTCTCTGTTATGTAATACGCAGTAGCAGAGAGCACGTTAAGTTAACAGTGTTAGTCCTGCACCTTATTTATCACCGGTCGTATTAAGTTGTTGGCCCAGCGGAATTAGATTGAGAATTCAAGCAATAGAGAGTATGTTTGGTACACACTTGTTATCTATAGTATGTACCGTACTTTTTGCAATTTGGCCAATTTGGCCAATTTAGCCAAATTTAGCACGAGACCAAATTTTTCACATAATAGGTTACAATTTTTTCGTATAATGTTTCACATTGTTATGACGGCCAGCTTAAATTACTAATACAAAATTTATATTTACATGAATGAGTTTTACACTCTATATGAGTAGGACAAAAAATAAAAATACATACAATTTTGATATAACATATTTTTATTATTTAAATAATTAAATAGTTACATTTCCATATACAACAATATATATATATATATATATATATATATAACATGTGTATTTATAAAGTTAAAATTGTTAAAACATTAGAAAAATTGTTAGAAGGCAAATATTTGCACAACTAATATTAATAATTTTGTTATTACTTAAGACGAGTTATAATTTGTACCCAACATTCTAACGTACTGACTCCTTATGACGAGCAGGAAATAGGCGCTGAGTGCTGAAAAAGAATACAATTTCTTCAAAAAGAGAAATGACACACACTAAAAATCTTAGATAAAACTTTTTTTTCGGATTTTATCGCGCTTTGTTTCAAACATTTACAGCGAACACTATAAAAATGTTTTGACGTCACAAAAGTATTAAATCCGAAAAATATTTTATTTAAAATCTAACAAAGCATAGAAAATTAAAATTATTTTCTTACAGTTATAAATTAAACCAACTGATTAGAAATATAAATAAAATAGCCTTTAATTTCTGAAACAAATTGACATTTACATTGACACACAGACACACATGCATATCAGTTTATTTTTTTACTAGATGGCAGATTATTAAGTAAATATATTAATCATTAAATAACAAAAAATAATATCTTTCATAAATAAAGTGATATACCTAATAGTACTAATTTTATTAAAAATATTTATACAATATTGTTAGTTTCTTTTTTTTAATTTTTAGAAGGATTGCTTTAATTATATATTGTCAATAAAAACTGAGTATCTTAGATTTATGCGACTTAATTAAGACAGAAATATAAAATAGGTATATTAAATAAAAATAAGTGTTAAATCGAACAGCCCCAAGTGAATACTATTATGTTTTATAACAAGATCACGTAACCAATAATATTTAAGATTTCATAGTCGATTCAAAAATCAGATCAAAAATGATCAACATCGAATACTGACTTTATTTTCATAAGAGGTAATAAACTTTTTTTTTCATTTATAATCATGTAAAGATATCTTTTCAGATTTTTTCGCGGATTATATATACGTCCGTCGAAACCATGAAAAAGTCCGAAAAGATATGTAGTTTTATTTAAAATGTCAAATATCCGCGTAAAAGCGTTTTTATTATTCTTACTGAAAAAAGCATATATTTTCTTCAGTTGGAGGCACATATCATATGAGACTGGCTCGACAGAAAACCACCGACACAGATCAGAACCCACTAAAACCTGTGGTTGTGGATTCTGACTCTGTCGGGCCGTTAACACGATGAGAGTATTGTAATTGTTAGTATTGTTGGCAATAATACCCTCTTCGATTAAACGGGTCGCCATGGGATCGCATTCCCATTCTAACATTATGCCTAGACAGTAATGTAAAACCTCTGTTGTAAAATATGTTAAATAAAATCAAACTTACCAATTTCCACAATTCTCCCAACGATACCAATTGGTTCATGAGCTCCCAGAATTAAATTTACAATGAATAGAACCGTGTAAATTATCAAAAATACTAAGCCGTAAACTAGATACGCCTTTACATGGCGAGGTTTTTCCTGAAAAAATAATAATATATAAAGTATAACGGAAGGAATTTACTTTAAATATTTTTTACATTATACACCCGACTTATGCATGTAATTTTTACATAATCAAACACAACTGTATAAATATTACAATTGAATTTCAACTTGAACCTACGTTACTATCGTAGTTCTATTACTATAACTACTCTATAGTAGTAAAGTTCTATTTTCCTTTACGTAAGTATGGATGTACTAAAGATTGAAATAAAGATTATTATTATTGTCATAAAGTTAAGTAGTAAGAAAGTATTATAGTAACGAAAATTATAATTCTTTGAATGTAGATAAATAGGTAACTTTTGCAACACACTCAGGATGAGATTCGTAGATCACACTTACACTTTACTATTAAGTAGGTACTACTTACAACAAATTTCCAATTTTAGCAAAAAAAAAATGTTTCATAATCTTGTCAAATGCTTACTTTATTGTAGAAACGCTTACGCTTCTGAAAGTAAAATCCACTTTGCGAAGACGACTTTGACTTACCTAAAGTAAATCTACGACAGTGAATCTCACTCTAAAACTCTACCAGAATTACATGAATATGGGTAAAAATGACTTTTTAATTGATAAGGTACCGACTTGTTAAGATAATACAAAAGGAATTGTAAAGATCTATGTATATGTGCGATTTTTTTAATGAATTTTAAAGAGGACTGCCCTCATTAAATAAGAATCATAAAAATCTGATAACATTTGTGTGTAACATGCTGCCTCCTTTTTTGATAAAAATGAATGCCTGTTACTCTCCGACTTATCCATTTACAATAAACATTCGTATTTATAATATTAGTAAGAATAGATTAAGGCCGCCTCACACTATAGTGCTGATCACGATTCGCTCTTCGCTCTTGGTCCAATATCGGTCTGGTAAAGTATTGTTATACAAGAAGCAATGAGTGCATTCAAAATATCAGTAAGAGTCACGTTCCGTTCAAATCACTCCAGCAACATTTCTTGTATAAAAAAAATTTACCAGACCGATATCGGATCGAGAACGGACTGTGGTCGGCACTATAGTGTGGTTCGGCCCTAAATGTGTCGCTTACCTTATGTAATCCATACAGTAGAGCAATGGTGAAAGCCACGTAAATAAGGATGAATATCAGCAACACCGTACTCACGCTTATTACTATAGTGCTAGCTTGGTGACTGTACAAACCCGAATACGCCATAGAGATGCCAGCACTCAGTGATAATATTGCGTATATAGCCAATATTATATTCGCGATCTGGAATAATGAATAAAATAATCAATCTAAACAAAAAAATGTTTTAGTACTAGTAATTGTTGTTTTTTGTTATTGTTGGTTTTTTTTTGTTTAATTATACTTAAATTTGATTTTTACTTTTTATTATGGGTAGGATTAAGTTTATTTTCATACACGACGCTTCTGAGTCGGGTGTTAATAACCGTGACACACTTTAACACTAATATAGTTATTATCGTAAATTTGTTATTGTGATACATATACTAAATGTTTTGAATGAATAAATAAACAAATAAAATTGAAATAAATAAAGTTAAAACAGGAAACGTGTGTGAAAAGTGTTCTATAGTAGCTGTATTCCTAAAACTAGCAAGTAATATCAGTTTAAGGCTAAGATTCGTTTTGAAAACAATGAATAGCTTCCATAAATAAATAAATAAATATGTTGAGGCATTAACACACAGCACCATCTAGTTCAATGGTAAGCTACGAGGCTTGTGTTATGGATACCAGGTAGTTAATGCACTGCACATATATAACTTTAAATACATACATATTATAAATATAACCATGACTGAGTACAAACATTCGTGCTCATCACACAAATGAATGCCCCCAGCGGAACTCGAATCCACGACCGCTGGCACAGCAAGTAGAGTCACTATAAACTGAGCCAAACGTGTCGTCAAAAATCAACAGCGTTTGTAGAGAAAATGGAAATTGTGGTTCATAACATATTTCTTGTACAGCTAACAATGATCCCCCCTGATCCAAATTTCTTTGGGATATTTGTGGATTGTCAAAAATTATTTTGTATATGTGATAAATTGTCTTTGGATATAAAGTAACACAATTTATATGATTTGCTGTCCTCATATATTGTTGGAGTGGTAGCCCAGTGGTAACGCGCTCGCTTGGGAAACCAAGTGAAGCGGGTTCAAATCCCGGGTCTCGCACTTCTGATATTCTTATGTGCGAATCATTTCCAACGTGACTATCACTTGTCTTACGGTGAAGGAAAACATCATGGGGAAACCTGCATGTCTGAGAGAACCTAGCAAGTTTTCGAAATGACATGTGAAGTCCGCCAACCCGCACTTGGCCAGCGTGGTGGACTATGGCCTGATTCCCCTCGTACTGAAGGGAGGCCCGTGAACAGCAGTGACACGTTAAAAAGGGCTAAATACATGTATTGTTGAGTTCTTAATTATTTGCTGACACTTATGGATATTAAGGGCTTGTTGTCAAAAGATGAAACTTCTCTAGAGAGCTGTAAAGTATCATGTCACTGCTAAAGAGGTCCCAACCTTGCGAATTAAAGAAATATTTTTACTAAGTAAATGTTCAAAGTACCTATGCTTCTTATTGCAGATGGGAGAATACAATTTATCAATTTTCTTATATACAAATAGAATAAAAATAAAATACATAAGAACTTTACCAGATTCAAGTATCCGATAACTAAACATCCGGTCCTCAACGGGAAGCAGCAACAACAAAAGTCTAGCACGAGCATGGTTGATGTTCTGGAAAAAAATATTGTTTATTATATTATTTTAATAATATTGACTTCTATATATCACATTAATATTATAAATGCCAAAGTTTCTGAAAGAATATGTTTGTTGCTTCTTTAAGCTGTTACGCCTCAATGTGTTTGAGTGAAGATCCAAATGAAAATAGGTTACACCCTGGAATAATAAACTAGTGACTTGCCCTCGCCTCGCTCGGGTTCATCCCTAGGTTCGATTTTGCATTTTGTTGCGCGGAACCCTAATTTTTTTTTTTAAATAAAAGTAAATAACATAAGCTATCTGTTAGTGAAAGTCCCGCCAAAATCTGTCCAAATCGGTTTCGGATACTAGCCGGAACAAACAGACAGAAAGATAGAAAGATAAACATTTTAAAAATTCTTTTTTTTCTTTTAAGTACCGTATATACTTTCATATGTATTTAGTAAAAAGCTATTATTAACCGACTACAAAAAGGAGGAGGTTCTCAATCCGATTGGTATTTTTTTATGTATGTACCTACACTGATTACGCTGAGATTATGATCCGATTTACGTGATTTTTCTTAAGTTTGATGCGGAATAGTAGCCATTTAGTCCCATAAAAATTTAACATAGTTTGGCCTTTTTTTTTTTTTTTTAACGTTGGGAAATGCATTTACGCACGACATGTGGGACTCACCGGCGTAATACAGCCAGTACTACCCACTAAAACCCAACAAAACCTTCCCCCGTCTTAATGGGGCGTCGCAGGATCGCTTACGCATTCAACTACGACGCCCCGACGGCAGGTCTGCCAAAGCAGACTACCACGACCATGGGGTTGCTCCAAAGTCCACTCTGCTATCAGAGAAGTACCAGGAGCAACCCGCAAGGTACACCGCCCCCCCAAGAGGGCCACCTCCCACAGCCCACCGAAGTGGGCAACCTCCCTGTGCGTTTCTTGGCTTCGCGCCCGGCTGGATTGCCGGGCACTACTGAGCCCCCCCACCACGACAAGGTGAACGCACGTTGGGGGGGAACATAGTTTGGCCTAAAAGTTTTCATTTTATGAACATTTGTGTATGAATATTTTTGTTAACGTGGACGATAAATTTTATTTTAGTTTGTGTACGGCTTTTTGAGGAGTTTTCATTTAGGTTGATTATATATTATTATTAAACCGTATCCCGATGAGTAGGTACTAGGCTACCTGTCATTGAAGCGGAGCGATCGTGCGGAATAGAGAAACTGAGAATTATTATAACCATCAACAAATCTTTACATTATTACCTACTGTAGTTTACATAACAACCTATTACAGACACTAAAAAGTAAAAAAATTAAATGTGGCACTCGGAGACTGCTGCGGTAAAGCTATTGCATAGCATTTTTTATCAACTTATGCAATTATAATTATTTATTTATTTTATTAATGCAGTATTTTTTCCTTGACTTTCTTCATTAATAAATGCTCTTTGAATATTCATATTTAAAACACTTTGTACACAAATTACACGAGTACAGATATTCACTGTTGTACATAGATGATAAATACCTATACACCTATATACTTTCTCACAAACAGCTGATTACGGTAGTTTTCCAATACAACCAATGCCACCTAAAGGCGGGTTGCTGAACTAAAGAGACAAGCGTGATATTTCAAAAAGTCACTAAAAGTTCTGGTATTTATCGATAGATGGAAAAAGTAAAAAGTATCACCGCTGTGCCGGTCGGAGTGGGAGGTGTCAGGTTTTTTTCGTTACGGAATTTCTGGATTCGGTCCCCACGCCCAAGGCCCGCGATAGAAGCTATGCAATAGCTTAAAAATAAAAAAAACTACGTTTAAAAAACCGAAGTCGATGTTAATATTTGTTTTAAGTTTCCTGATACATATATACATAAATGTATGTAGTTCGGATGATAATTTTATAATTTGGTATATTGGAGCTCGTCCGATGATACAGCATTAAGGTTTATAGAGGATCATTTCAATGGCTTCTAGAATACCCCTCATGTTTGAGAACATTTGGTTTTGTTTTATTATTTCGAAGATTATATCATTAAAGTTCCTCAAAAGAATGTTTTTTAGTTTTCTTTGTAGTTCAATTAAATGAATATTTTTCAAAATTATAGCCTAAGTGTTACTCTGATGTAAAACCTATGTTACTGTAAAATTTCATCAAAATACGTTTAGTAGTTCTTACATGACAGAGTAACAAAATCCATCCATCCTCACAAACTTTCGCGCTTATAATATTAGAAGGATAGGATTTTGGTTGAAACCTACTTTAGATTTAGGGACATAGCAAAAAAAACCGCATATAAGTTCATTCAGCAGTCTACAAGACTAGCGTGCATAGGTATACTTACAGACAGACGCTCAGGCAACTTCATTTAATATATGATATAGAAGGATAAGTATTAAATAAGAAATATTATTAAATTCATAAAACTTGTTAGGTAATTATAAATCAATTTGACGTTATGTGATGCCTGTCTTTAATATGTACAGCAATTAAAATTAAATAAAAAGATAATTTTAATGGTTAGGTATATCGATTTCAACAGCCTTTAAATGGCTAAATTAAAAATCTTCTGATATGAACAAAATTAATATAAAATATAGTATATGAAAGTACTGTTTGGCAAATATACTATAGTATCATCTTAGGCCTCTATCTAAACATTATTTAGTCAAAAAATAGTTTTTAAAAGAATGGTTTATAATTTTTTTTTGTAAGATCACGTTAATCATAATATATATTTTTTTAAATTGCTTAACTATAGCAACCCTAATTATATTTTTTAATAAAAAATTTAAAAAATCATATTTTAAAGTATTCTGTCATCATTTCTCTTTTCTTCGATAGAGATTTTTGAACTTTTGAGACTTCGAAACGTCGGAAACCAAAAATGAAACCGCGAAAAATTCCGAAAAAATATGTTGTTTTATTTAAAAAGTCGCAGGGACACGCTAGTAAAATATATTTCTCTAGAAACAAATTATAAAAAACGCAAATCCTAGATATATCATAAAAAAAGATTTTTTTTATGGAAAACTAATGTCTAAATGATTTGATGATGGTCAGTACCTTAAAAAAATTATTTCTATCGACGACCACAACCACTTCTTCAGTCACTGTCACACTACTAACTCTTGTAAAAGGCACAATTAATTTGTATACAATAACGATATTAAATTCTTCGCTATAGACTCTTATAGTTATTTCTTTTTAATGATATATATCTGTCTCTTTTAGATAGTAAAGGATTAAGGGTGAAGGAGATACTTCAAGTACTTTAACTTATGACTATTGCAATTAAAATAGCATTAACTTTTTGAACGGAATTCAGGTCAAAATCCAATTAAAATCTTCTTTTCTTATCGGCAACTCTCAATTTTTTTTTATTTTAGACTAAATTATACTAAAATATAAATAGAATATTTGATGGATCGGTACAATAGTATACAACAGAATAGTCAAGAGGAAGGGTTGTCACCAAAGAGTATAGTTATAAACTGGGAAGTTGTCACGGTTGACGTTCAATATTTAAAATATATATATTTTTCTATTCATTTATATCATGTGCCAACACTACCCCTTAAACGAATATAAAAATATCATATTCGCAACTTACACCTACCACTTATATCTTTAAGTTTTAAATAATTTAGATATAAGTTTCTTATGCTTCACAATACATAAGGGCTTTGTAAAAACATCAGCTAACATATCTTCAGTACATAGATAATCTAACTTAACTATCTTCTTATCAACCAATTCTCTAATAAAATGGTATCTGATATCGATATGCTTTGTTCTAGAATGTGATATAACATTAGAACATAATTTCTGAGCAGACTGGTTGTCATTATATAAAGTTATTTTACAGAGCTTACCAGTACACTCATTAATAAACGCTCGTAAAAACAAAGCTTCTTTACAAGAATCAGAAACCGCCATGTACTCAGCCTCAGTGCTCGAGAGCGCGACAGTGCGCTGCTTACGGCTTTCCCAGGATACTATTGATTTACCAATACAGAATACATACCCTGTGTAGGATCTCCGATCCAATTGGTCTCCGCCCCAATCAGCATCGGCAAAACCTAAAATTTCAAGATTATGTTTTTCAAAGATTAGCGAGTATTCTGAGGTGCCTTTCAAATACCTTAAAACCCTTTTCGCAGCTTTGACATGACTCTCACCATGGCAATCATTGAATTGGCTCAAGTAGCTGACACTGTGAGCGATATCGGGTCTGGTACATGCCGCTAAATACATTAAGCAACCAATTAAACTCCTATAATCAAAGTTGCAATTACTAACATTTCCCTCTCTTTGCAACTTTAATCCTACTTCCATAGGAGATTTTACTTCCTTACAATCCGCCATTTTAAACTTTGTCAATATCTTCTTTATATAGCTGGATTGATTGAGAGTATAGCTACCGTTAGGTAATGTAGTAATTTTCATACCTAAGAATTGATGTGCCAGTCCTAAGTCCTTCATCTCAAATTGTTTCATCAACTTTTCTTTAATGAGCTTTCTTTTCTGAGATGTCTTAGATGAAAATAACAATATATCATCAACATAAATAGCTATATACAAAATTTCTTTACTATCGTTGTATATATACACGCATGGTTCTGAAGAAAACCTCTTAAAGTGTAATTTCTTAATTAAAACATCATTAATTCTCTCATACCAAGCCTTAGCTGATTGTTTTAATCCATATATTGCCTTGTTAAGCTTATAAACCTTATTCTTATTATTATCAACAACAAAACCTTCCGCTTGTTCCATGTACACATTTTCCTTTAAAATCCCATTTAAAAATGCTGTTTTAACGTCCAAGTGCTCAATCAACATATCGTACTGAGCAGCTAGTGCTAGCAAAACTCTGATAGTTGAGTATCGGACGACAGGAGAAAATGTTTCGTGATAATATATCCCATATTTTTGAGTAAAGCCTTTTGCCACCAAGCGAGCTTTGTACTTTAAGATCTCTCCATCAACCCC